TGAAATTGTACAGCAACTGCGACAGCTCGACGAATCTTTAGACAAATACCAGAAAAATAACAAAACAAAACGATACATGTTTTACTCGTTTCTCGATTGCTTCTTTCTTTCAAGCGCGTGTACGACTGTAATTCGACTAGAAACGGAGTATTCGACGAATAGCAGTAACGCGAAACGAAAGGTAGGAAAAAGAATCGGTCTATTCGACTAGAAACGTCCGTTCCATCCATCTTTTCGTTGCCAATGTTTTCTAGACTCTTGCTAAACGAGAGAGCAATAGCTATCGGATGGGAAGCAACAGCATTCGTCCATTTCTCGATAGAATCGAGCGAGCGACACTTACCTACGTATGTTTTCCCTCCACGTAGCAGAAGGAAGTAGCAGTTGTTGTCGGCGGCTGCCAACCGGCTGCAAGTTGCATCAGCAGAACGATAACACGACAGGAATCGGAGGAACGTCGAAGTGTCGAGAGAAGGAGCAGAGCGGCGAAGCCGGGAAGCAGAGTAGCATTCGGCTTTCTTTCTCGGGAAGGACAACGCTGGAGCCAGGCTGCAGAGAGAGATTCTTCACAGGGAAGGTGAACGAACGACCCTGCGCGCCGGGGAAGAGAACCGGCGCACGCTCGACCAAGAACCACAGAACCACAGAAGAACCAGAGAGAAAGAGAGTAGTCAGCCTCGTCGTCCCGGACTTCGCACCGGCATACCCCGTTTACCTATCCTCCCCGTCCTCTGTCCTATTCCACTCGTGGCGCGCACCCACGACCACACTCGACGACACACTGCGCAACACTACCTGGTAGTCGGCGGCAGACTCGATGTGGCCGGGTCACACCGCACCACGCATCCTCTGCCCCGCCCAATCGTCGTCGCCCTCCTTCTTCTTCTTCTTCTTCTTCTTCTTCTACTACTATTTCTCGCTGGCTAGGCTACAAGGCAACAAACTACTACCATCTACCACCGCTACTACCCTTAACCTAAACCCACCAACTATCAACAGCCAACAAACAACTCTTTTCCCTTTCGTTTCCTTTCCAGTCATCTCCTTTGCCCCTTTCTTTCCGTCCTCACATCCTCACCGCTGTCATCCTCACCGCAAACAATCAACAACCAACAACCAACAACGTCTGTTCCTCGCACGTCTATTGTAATTTCAAATCGTTTGCATACCAGATTATCGCTGCGTCCTTTCTACGTCCTGAGAGTAAAATTCTAATTCTACTCAACCACGTCCCCACTCGTTTCTTTCATTCAAAGTTTAAAACATTTGAAAATGTCTCGATCCGATAGAATTAGTTTAGCGAGTCAAGCGTATAAATACAATATATATATATATATCGATGACAAAGGAAAACAGCTTACAGGTAATTCGTTTCCAGCGAACGGCACGTGTATACTTTGTCGCA